AGTCTGACTTTATTTAAAACTTTGATGTTGTGTTATTCATCATGAATGTTTTTCATGAATTTTTATTTTTAAAAATATTGCATTATATTATTACTTTCTTCAATTACTGAGTTTTCCGGCCTCCCCTTGAATTTTGTGCTCAAGGCAAATGCTGCACTTGCTCACCTGACCCCAGCCTGCCTTCAAGGAATGGTCTCTAAGTCTGTCTAATTCCTGTCCACATGTGGTTAGTTCATTTTTACTGTATTGGTTAGGCGTTTCAAACCACCAGAGGGCTGTTTTTGATTAATTCAGAAAGAATCGTCAAATCAAGTGTGGGATTAAATAGTTCCTCTGGGGAATAAGATCTCTCAATAACTTTCAGTTTTCTAAAGCAACAATCAGCTAACTATTCTTTTTCTGATGTTTAATTGGTAGTTTAAAGGCTCATTTTGCTAAAAACACATATTCTAGAAAATGACCAATAAACTTAACCAGACATGAATGCTCCAATTAAAGGTCCTGGTTTACATTAAAAAGAAAGAAAGAAAGAAAGCTCCTTTAGAAGATGAACGAATCACCCATTTAGAAGATGTGTTAGTTACCTGGCAGATCAATGGCATAGCTGTAGCCAAGTTGGTCTGCAGTTAAAAAGAGTTCCTCATTTGTCACTGGAGGGAAGAAAGGAACCATGTTGTACATCCTGTTGTGACCAATGGGTGCCAGCTCCTGTGGCCAGACATCGGCAGGAGGATTGACTCTTTTCATCCACTCATCAAAGATGGCATCAGTGAAAGAATGAAGCACCTGTAAGAGGGTCAAACAAGGTGTTTAACATTGATTAGTCCGTTCTAATCAGACCAGCCTGACTGGAGAATTCTCTGAAATGGAATGGAGTTCTTCTTCACGTGAAGATCTTCTGTATACCCAATCCAACCTTAATGGCATATACACTGGCATTTTTAGTTAACTTTTCAAGGATGTACAGACATCTCTCTCCAAACAGGAGAAATGAACAAATGAAAGTTCACGTTGTGGATGTAACATCGAGTTGGGAACCTTTGAGGCCTTCGACATTATGTGTTCATTATCAATTTCAGAAAAAGGCGAGTATGAAAAGATATCTATTTCAGTCAACATTCAGATGCTTTGGTTTAACAGGAGAGAAAGAAGAAGATGCACTTACGAGCTGAGTATACTTAATGTAAAAATCCAAAATTGGAAACCCCAAACTCCAAAACATTTTGAGCACTGACATGACATTCAAAGGAAAAGCTCATTAGAGCATTTTGGATTTTGGGTGTTCAGATTAGGGATGCTCAACTGGTATAATGCAAGAATTCCAAAATCTGAAAAAATCCAAAATCCAAAACACTTCTGCTCCCAAGCATTTCAGATAAGAGACATTCAATCAGCAGCAGTATTATAAATGGACAGTAAAAAAGAAAAAGAAGAGGAAAAAATCTTCAAATTGGGGTTTCAAATTTTTCTCACCAGAAACCCCCTTCTATCTACTCATTTTATAACCCTCTCGCTTAAATTCTTGGTGTTATACCAGCCAAAGAAAGTCTAAAAATGTAATATGCATACTGCTTATTTTAATTTTCTCAAGGAAGCTGTTAAAGTCTTTTAAAATACAGTAATGATTACATATATTAAAATATTAACAGTGAAATTTCCACATTTATAGCCCTGATTTTGCAACAGGATATAAAAGTGAGAGTTCAGCCCAGCCTTTATGTCTGGCCGTTAGAGCTTCTGTGTCATTCCCAGACTGGAAGTTCAAGCGAGGCCAGGAGAGGGTCTGCCTTCCTTCCCCCCAGGTCACCAGGGCTTGTCGCCTCAGGGTCTCTCAGGTGCAGGCAGGGAGGTACTTCTTTCAATAAATACTTGTTCAATGAATTCATTCCTCCTTTCACCACTGTACCCTGCACCTTATTTATAGCACTGATCAAATTATACTATAAGTTGTTATTTGTATGTCTATTTCCCCTAACAAGACCCCTAACTCCTTAAGGTCAAAGATAAAGACTTTTAAGTCTCGGGCTTAGCATGCCACCTGGGCAGACTCAATGCTTAGTAAGTATTTGTTGGCTGATGACACAGTGTCACGCAAAGTAGTTTTTATTTATTTAATTTTATTTTTTAAGAGACAGAGTCTCTCTCTGTCATCCAGGCTGGAGGGCAGCCTCAAACTCTGGGCTCAGGTGAGCCTACTGCCTCAGCCTCCCAAAGCACTGGGATTATAGGCGTGAGCCACTGAGACTGGCCTAAAGTAGTTTGATTTGCATAAATGGTTTACCCTTATTCACTTGCTTTCCCATATACATTGTTAATCAACCGATTCTCCTAAAAAAAAAGAAAAATCCTTTCATAATAAATTGATAGAATAATTCTTCGGGCTTTTTTTTTGTACAATTCAAACTAACAGAACCATTTCTAGCTGAAGGTGTTTCCTCAGTCTGCAGCGCCTTTCCTTCTGTTTTCTGGCATCAGAGTCCTTGTGGTCCCTGTCCTGTGACAGCGTCCCTGACGGCCCCCAGTCTGAATGCTTTGCTTTTTGTACTTCTCAGTCTCTCTAACTGAATTGCCCTCTGCCTTGTATTGCTCTTGTTTATCTTAGTACCTATTTTCAAATCTCACGCAAGGTTCCTTCCCTTCTTATTTGTACTTAGTTGCCCCATTCCAGGCAGCAGGGAGAGCTTTCTACCTGTGTTGTCTCCTGAGGCTACATTCAGGATAGAAAAAGAAATCAAGTGACTTACAGAAAGGATTTTTTTTCCTGAATGGATTTTTAAACTTCATGGCACAGGTAATCATCTAAAAAACCAAAGCATCAAGTTATAAGACCCAGGCTTCTAGAGAAATAAAAGACTTTCAAATTCTAAAATCTTGGCTTTAAGTAATGAAAGACAAGCTCCAAAGGAAGAAAGGCATAGAGTTTTTTGCAGAAGCATCAGCTTTGGAGGAACACATGATAATGGAAGTGATCAATGTTTCCCACGGGTAGAATCAGAAAGAGTTATCTTTGACGAGGGGTGTTAGTCCTGGAAAAGGAACTAAGCATTAGTTGTTGGTGTCGGTCCCTGAAAAGGGTGCATCATGCCATGAACCCTGGGAACTCCAGATAGGATTGAAAGGTTTCCAGAAATGGAAGTGGCGCTTCATCCTCCACGTGTAGCCTGGGGAGCCTAAAGGCCTCAAAGAGAGGTCTTGCCTGAAGCATGGAGGCCAAGTAATAGAGATAGAATGTGTAAGGGTGGCGAGCACTATTGGTTGCTTACCTAATATCCATTCTTCCCTTTTTCCTTGGTAACTTCTTTTATATTTTGGGTGAAGCAATGTGCCAAACTACCCATGAGATTTAGATGCAAGTGACTGGATGGAACTTCTAGGAAAGCTTTATAAAGGTGATTGTCTCAGCTGAAAAATGTCCTTTTTTGCTTTTCCATTTCTCCTTGCTGCTCCCTGGAACATGGGCATGATGGCTGGAGCTACAGCAGCCATTTTACAGCCAATAAGTGAAGTTAAGAAAGAAAGCCATTCACCAGTAATGGTAGAGCAAAAAGACAGATGGTGTCCATGATAACTGTGGAGATACTATACCAACCCTGAACTGCCTACCACTGGAGCTTTCTTACATAAGAGAAAATTAAATATCTTTTTTGTTCAGGCTTCTGTAATTTGAATTTTCTGTTCTAAGGGGCTGAACCAAATCCTAAGTGATAAACAGAAAAAGTGCCTAGGGGTGTACACAGGAGAAAATTTTCCAAACAAGGCCATACAATATCTCTTGATTCACATGCTTCTCTAGAATCTTGTCACTCCTTCATCAAAGGTTGGGGTTCAACTGGCCCTCCCCTTGAAACTTGGTGAATTTCTGACTCTCCTGTAACCAATAAAATGCAGCAGAAGTGACATTTTGTGGCTTTTGAGGCTAAATCATAAATTGTACTATGGCTCCTGTCTTGTGCCTGAGCCCTGAGCCATCATATAAGCAGTCCAACTGTCCTGAGGCAGCCATACTGTGAGGAAGCCCAAACCAACCCACACACAGTGACCACATGGAGAATTCCTGAGATTTCAGGAAGAAAGAGAGATGGCTGGCCAATCCATAGCTGTTCCAATACCCGTCACCAACTGACTGCAACTGCATTGAAAGACCCTGATCCAAAACTGCCCAGTCAAGCCCTCCCCAAATTCCTGACCCACACAAATTGTGAGAAATGAAATGATCATTGTTGCTTCAAGCCGCTAAATGTTGGGGTGATCTGTTATACAGCAATGGATAAGCAAAACAAAGGGAAAAAGCCTGAGGATAGTCTCACAGGCTCACACTTACCCCAGAATGTGTAGAGAAGGGAGTTACCTGGTCTTCAATGAGAGAGCAGAGGTACTGGGAGAGGGTCAATTATGAGGCCTAAGCTGAGAAGGACACAGCCTACCGACCTGAAGACTAGGACTCACAGAGGTCTGCAAACATCTACAGTGGACACCGATACATCGCAGTTGGGAAGATAGAGAAGATAACATACATAAAGTACCTAGTACAGTGCCTTTTATGTAGGAAATGTTTATGAAATAGTTGTTATCACTATGACTATATCATCAGTACTATTATTATTTTAACTAGAGACAAGGACTTATAGAAGAAGAATAAAGGAATTGGCGTTTTTCAGGTATGTGGGGCTTACTAGTATCTCTGAAATCACATGCTCTATACATATAACCCATGTAAAGCTAGGCATTTAGGAAAGCACATGGCACACAGCTAGCACTTAAGAAATAGATTCCTATTTATCAGTGCTTGCTCTACATCAAATACTATTCTAAGCACTTTACCAATAATAACATATTGAATCCTCAAAACAACCTGATTTGGTGGGTACCATTTGTGTTAGTTTGCTCGGACTACTGCAACAGAATACCACAGACACAGGTGGCTTAAACAACAGATACTTACTGTCTCACAGTTGGAGACAGTTGTCTCACTTATAGGCTAGAAGTCCAAGACCAAGATGTCAGCAGGGTTGGTTCCTTCTAAGTACTGTTAGGGGGAATCTGTTCTACGTCTCTTTTGTAGTTTCTGGTAGTTTGCTGGCAACCTTTGGAAATCCTTGGTTTGTAGATCTCTGTCTTCACCCTCACACGTGTGCAAGTGTCTATGTCTGAATCTCCCCTTTTTATAAGGACACCACTCATACTGGCCCTGCCCTACTCCGGTATGATCTCATCTCAATTTAACTAATTACATCTGCAACTACCCTATTTCCAAACAAGGTCGCATTTTTAGGTATTACTGGTTAGGAATTCAACATATGGATTTGGGGGGACAAATTCAATGTACGACAGTATTATCCTGCTTTATAGATGAGTAATATTAGGCACACGAGTGTTAAGTGACTTGCCCAAGATCACACAGCTAATATATGGTGGAGCAAGAATTTGAACTCAGGAAGTCTTGTTCTAAAGTCAGAGTTCTTAGTCTACATACTTTGCTTTCTCTATACTATCACACTGTAGTATAATTATTAATACAACTCTCAGTGCCAACTAGAATAAGAAAAATTGACTTTGAAGCCATAGCCCCAAATCTTAACGATAGGGAAAAAGTATAGAGTTTGACCTATGAGTCCTAAACTGATCATGAACTTTTAGATACTGTCTGAATTCAAGTCAGAGATCAAATTGTGATTAGAACAAGAGACAGGAGACTCTCAGGACTTAAGAAAGATGCAGATTTAGTGCTGCAAGAGGCAAATAACTTTTGGAAAGTACAAGAATTCACCCTGTACAAAGTGTAAATA